GTTATCGCTTGACCTCGCAGCTCAAGCGTGGGTTGGTGTTTGATGTGGCGGATGTAGATGGCGGACGTCTTGTCGACGTTGACAGACATCCGCCACTTATCCAGCCACTCCAAGGTCCAATTGGCGCTGCATCTTCCTCGCCGCAATCGCCGCCTTGTGTGAAGACGTAAAGAACGCATCGTCGTCCGCGTACAGGGCCAACAGCACGTCTTCATCCCAGTCGGAGGCGTTTTGCTCCAAGGTGGGAATGTAGTCCGTGTACACCGCATACAGGTGTGGCGACAGACAACTGCCTTGTGGTACACCGGCTTGGATGCATCGTACCGCCGATTCGGCTTCCTCGACACGTACGACGAACTTCCGGTTCTGGAGAAATGACGCTACTAACCGCACGAGCGCACGGTGGATGTTGGTCTCTTCCAGCAGCTTGTACAGTAGGCCCTCGTGCCACACTCTGTCGAAGGCCTTCTCCATATCGAGAAGGACCCCCAAACAGATACGGCCCCTGTTGTGAATAATCAGGGACACATGATATTTTGTTATTAAGGGTAAAAGACTAGAGAGAGAGCCATGTTCTCAGGACCTGATCGTTATTGAAGACATTATACGTGTTTATTTACTTCTTAACACAGGTATTTTGATATATGCGAACTCTTATACCAAAATTAAACAGAGGTCCGTGTATTAGTGAATCATAAAATTAAAGTTACCTACAGCATTAATACCCATTTTTTTTTATTTGTTATAATCGCATAACGGTAATTAAGTTTATACGGAATCATAATCGCAAGTTTTCCACTTTTATTTTACTCTATAAGATTAAAAGAGACTTATGGCGCACAGAGTAAAAATATCTTTTACTCTGTGCGCCATTGATATGCTCAAAGCTCAATGAACTAACACAAATTTTGTTTACCGTTTAAAAACCGAATAGCTAGATTGCAATATAAAAACCCGTAAATGCGAACGCACTCACGCGCAATAAATAATTAACGCGTCGATCAATCAATTCCGTAGCAGTTTGCGGTGTTTATGTCGATACTGATGATATTTATTAAGATAACTTTTTCGAAAGGTTTTAACGAATATTCACGGTGTTTTCCCTATTTTTATCAAAAAAGCGCTATGCTGTGATAGCTTCGATTGGAGAGAATATTTCAAAAGTCTCTATATAAAATACTAGCGACCTGCCCCGGCTTCGCAAGGGTGTATTATACTTATAAACCTTCCTCTTGAAACACTATCTAGTAAAAAATACCGCATCAAGGTCCGATCCGTTTAAAGATCTAAGCATACATAGGGACAGAAAGACAGCGGGATGACTTGTTTTATACTATGTAGTGATTCATGTCTCAAATGTAGTTGAGGTTTAGCGGCCGAAGGTCGTGGGTTCGATTCAACGACGTAATTGCCATATTTGTCTCAGGCATTCGGTGGACACACCGCCTCTAGGGTTGTTGCGTCTTTGACCAAAGGATATTTGGAATTCTGATGGATCAGTCTGCGCCGAATCAAAAGAGGCGACATCTTCTTACTGGACTGACGGCCACTTCATCATTGCTCAATCAAACCCGCACGTACTTAATTCAAATGAAAAAAAAATATTAATAGAAACAGCATTAAAATTGATCGATATAACACGACCCCTTTCCTCGACGTTCCATTTGAAGAGAAAGCGCGCACTTCGGCCTCACATTTTTGCCGTCTACGTGGTCTTTGGCCAGGGCAGAACGGCATCCAACGGCGTGGTGGAACTGGTTTGAGGCCGGGGTAAAAACGCGGCCGCTCCCGAAGCGGGAATGTATCGCAGCGGAGGCGGCTCATGGTGGAATTCCATCCGGAATCCCTAATTAAAACTTTATCTAGTCCCCCTCCCCCCTCTCGTTCCTTTTCGCGGAACAATCCCTTTCGCCCCACCGTTTAAACTTTCCTCCAATTCCCTTTTTTCGGTCCGCAAAAGTCCCTAGAGGGAGTAATTACTCGAGGATTTTTAACTGCATATCTATTGAAATAGATGTGAGGTTTCCTTTTCGAAACGTTGATGTAATGTAAAATTTTTTGAGATTTCCTCTATGAGGTATGTGATCTCGAGATAAACTGTAACTGTTTGATTCATTATTTAACATTTTCTCGACGCGAGCTGTATAGTATGTTCATATTAATTAAATCATATATGCTGTCCCATCAAATAAAATATAAGTGTTATCCCTACTCTAGGATCTGAATATAAAAACTGAATTGCATATCGACGAAGACCGGGGTTTGTTGCTAGTTTATTATAAATTAATAGCTTTATGAATATCTATTCTTATAAATTATATTTTTTTATTTCACGACCATTTGACGGCAAGTCCACAATTTCCTTATCGTTCTGCCTACAAGACTTGGTCATCTTTATACATTTTAGAACATAAGTTGTCTTTACACCGTATCTATAGAACAGATAGAGGTTAATTATTGTTTATTGTTTTATACAGATTGTGCAATGAAGAAACAGCGTCCTGTTATAGAACAGTTAAGTTTAGGGTTTATGTAACGTGTTTAATGGCTATCTGAAAACACTCCGGCGTTAGTTTAACGCTTAATTAGCCCATTAATATAACTCGCTATCGGTCCGCAATTCTAAGTTAAATTCAATGGAGACCGTACATTCTGCCAATATCGAACTGCGAAATGAGCGTGGGAGTAAATCGATTTATTTATTGCAACACTCGAGTTCATTTGCATCCGTGTCTTGCGTTTTGAATTTTAACCGTTTCGTATAGCCAACATAAATCAAACGTCAACTGCAGATTTGCGAAACGGCGAAACGGAGACATAATTAATGAAGATCATTTAATGTAGACAGCTGGATGACAGTTTTCTTGATAAAATCCATATGTTTCCCGGTACCGGTGTTAGGTTGTTCAGCGCATAATAGTATTAGATTCTTTTAAATTGTTACGCACATTAATAAACAACGCAATATTATCTCCGTAACAAAAGTAGTAGTAACTAAATATTAGTTTTTCAACTAATATGTATTACTAAACAACTATCTATCTAAATCCCTTTCGGTTTATTCAAAAATAGTTTGAATAACAGTGAGCGGTTCGCTCACTCTTGTGAGCTCTCACGGCTCGTTCGATATTAAAAAAAAAACACAGATTAATAGTATCAAATAGGTTGCAAAACGTATCGGACCGTGCGCAAATGACTCGTGTACGTCACTTAAAATGGTTGGGATGAGTTGTCGAGCACTAGCCATTCTATTAAGAAAAAAAAAAACAACGGGCAAAGATCACCCCGCACCGGAGCCGGGCGCGATGATCCCGCGACGCCGCGCCGCGCCGCTCGGCCCGTCGAGACGCGTCGCAAACACCGAAATGCTAAAAATGGCATAAATAATTTATACGCCGCCCGCTCGTCCGCCGGTTTTTGCGCCGGCCGACCTGTCCACTGATGCATTTATAATATAAGGGTGCTTTTTGCACCGCACCCCGGCCGCGTTGGAATGCAACCGCTAAAATTGATCTTGTTTCAAACGTGGCTGGAAAGTTGACGCGGTGCCCCGGTCGAATCCAACCGTCTCGGTATGGACACGTTCAGAAACGGAGATGTGCGAAGCGGCCGTCAGTTATTTCGCTAATAACGCAGTGGCTATTTGTGTATAGCCTGTGTAGTTGCATAATGAATGGAAAATATTTATCTGTTTGCGGAGACAATTCAAAATCACTGTTGATTTATAGTGACATGCACTGGATTTATTAGTGTTTTCATAATTTTTTTCACATAATTCTATATTAATCTACACAATTTTAATCTGCATCTTTGTTCTATTTTAATTACATAACAAACTACGTAATCAAATGTGTTTTCTCCAAGAATCCTCCCATAATGTGACAACATCCGCCAGAAGTATGGGTAAAATATGTTTAAATGAATTCAATCGCTTTTACAGATAGATCACTTTATTAGCCGCGGCCAGATCCCGTTTTAGAACAAGAAAAATAAAATAAAAAAGTAAAGAATTTTCTATTGCTAGTGACGTGCGTGCAACGGAACATCCGCTGGAAGGCCATGGCTTATCCACACATTTGATATCACTTGCGGTGCATTCATAACAAATCCACCATAATGGCGGATTCGAGATGCAGACGTTAGCTACGCTTCTAGCTTACCACTGTCTTATTGCGGTTCGCTTAACAATCATACACAGAGGGTTGCAGTGAGACGAGTGGCCATGTCTCACGTCATTTGTCGACACCGTGTCGACAAATTCGACATGTACGTTTAGAACTTGAATCTTAAAATAAATATGAGCATTATTCGTTACACTTCATTGTATATTAAAATTTCATCATCATTAGTATCAATATATAATATATATATATAATACATAGCCAGTAACGCAATATTGACTAACTTCGTGGTGCTATTTAATGTCGCTGTGCATGCTAAAAGAAGTATAACTTTAAAAGAAATTTGCTTCGGTAGATCCAAGCAGTAGAGGAAGTATCACGGTCTGACTGAAGAACTGACTGAACTAAACCGTTCATACTTTGGCACTTTGTCTGGTGACCAAGACGACTAAGGCTCACCGTCTATAAAGTTAGCATGTTCACGGTTTAAGGCTTACAGCCTGCTTGTTTGACGCTCGCTCTCGTAAAAAAAAGATTACTTCAACTACATTAAACAAAATGTCGAAACCATCATATTACAAAACTCTAACAAAAACTGGGCAAATTTCCTCACAAGCCCTGATTTGGGGAGTGTCGCCCCGTTCTTAAACCGACAGACCGCTGGGAAACGTTCACAGCTCTACCAAGTGAGTCGTCACTTAACATCAGGTGAAAGCTTGACAACTTTTCACATAAATAACGTGGGAATATCAAAAATTGCATTAAAGACGCCTCCGATGTTCGAACCCACAATCTGAGATAGTCAGAACATCCGAGCCACCATGCACGCGTCGTATTGTCAATAATGTAATTAATTCAGTTTTTTTTTCTCAATTGCAGTAAACAAGCCGTGTTCGACGGCAAACGGGCGATACGAGGCGGAATTCCTTTCGTGTTCCGTAAGTATATAACGCGTGGGTTCTCTCAACTCCCGTTCTGTTTTCTGTAATGTTTGTATAATATTCGCGTCCATTTCTCTGTCGTTAAGCAATAATTGGCATCCATGTCGTTAATCGCTCACACCGCCCCGCGTCTTCTTAATAAGTTCTGCGGGGCGGTTTGTGGCCAAAGATTAAACGTTTTCGCCATATATTAATTGTCGGCGAATCATGTACTATGTTAATAAAAGAAAATTATATGTAAATTCTGTTTGTGCTTTATAACTATTAGCTATTCATTTATGACAAAAAAGTAATACGCGACATAGTTCTCATTCTAATAAATATAGATATAAAATACACCCTTACTTTGTTCTTGGATCTGGTCACAAACAAGTTTTTATTCAACTCACCACAATGATAGTAACGTATTGTTTGTGATCCAAGTATCTTTTTGTAAAAACGTAACCCCCTTAGGGACTATAAAGACGTGTTTCAAACATAAAATATATCATGTTATGTTTCATTAAATTGTTATCAGTTAAATTGTTTATTGTTACTGCTTCACGGATATAATGCGTGCAATGCAGGAATACGCGACAAGTAAAACTAGAAGCTACATACTTTCATTACACTAAAATAGGTTTAAATAAAATAAAATACAAATCATACGTAAAACAGCTCAACACTAATAATTTTTAACGATTGCTTTTGTCAGAACAGAACTAACTAAAGATGTAAATGTAATGTAATAAGTATAAAGTTAAATAGTTACACAAGTTGTGCTCTTTCGATCTCCAGCTCAGTTCGGACAATGGGCGTTCGGGCCCCAACACGGGTTCGCCCGCGTCGCCCGCTGGCACGTGGAGAAGATGCCGGAGCGGCTGCCTAGCGGCGACGTGGAGGCCATCTTCAGCCTGATGGACGACGACTTCACGCGCTCCATGTGGCACTTCCAGTGAGTGCAAAGCCACCCTCAACGATCCTAATATGACTCCGATAAGCCGCTCTCACTACTCAACAGATACCATAAGCCGCTTTCACTACTCAACAGATACTATGAGCTCCTTTCGCCACTCTACAGTTACCATAATCCGCTCTCACTACTCAACAGATACGATGAGCTTCTTGCACTACTCAACAGATACTATAAGCCCCTTTTGCCACCCAACAGATACCATAAGCCGCTCTCACTACTCAACAGATACCATAAGCCGCTTTCACTACTCAACAGATACCATGAGCTCCTTTCGCCACTCAACAGATACCATAAGCCGCTCTCACTACTCAACAGATACCATAGGCCGCTTTCGCTACTCAACAGATACTGTAAGCCCCTTTTGCCACCCAACAGATACCATTACCATAAGCCGCTCTCACTACTCAACTGATACCATAGGCCGCTTTCACTACTCAACAGATACGATGAGCTTCTTGCACTACTCAAAAGATACCATAAGCCCCTTTCGCCACCCAACAGATTCCATAAGCCGCTCTTAGCACTTACCGGATACCATAAGCCGCTCTCGCTACTCAACAGATACCATGACCCGCTTTCACCACTCTCCAGATACCATAACCACCCTGAAATCCATTTCGCGTCTACCTACTGCTTCCAATTACGTTCAGAAATCTGATCCTTCCCTTGGGACATACAAACAGCGTTATGCAACAGTCTTCTCTGTTTTACGAATGGGCAGGTCCGAAACCCTCTGCATACGTCTGTAACCCTGTGTTTTCTTTTTTTTGTTTTGTTCGTTTGTGTTTTCTTTTTTTTTAAACATCGCCTTTACTTTAGGATAATATAATAACATTATCCTGTGTTGTAAGGACGTTTTACAAACATAAATTTCACGTGGACAAACACCCAGATGCGAAACAACTATCTGTGGGTCACACAAATAGTTGTCCCGTGTGGGAATCGATCCCACGACCCCCGACGCCGAAGCCAATACGTTGCCAACTGCGGAGTCATCATCATGTGTTGATCCAGAAATTGCAGTTTCTAGCAAGTAGGAAACTAGGCCCTACTTTCCGGGCCGACTGTGCCACACTTGTTATTGCCTCGTAGCCGCCTTACGTGATCTCCGCCTTCCCCCGTGGCAGGTTCCGGCTGACCTACCGGCTGATACTGCGCGAGAAGGAGCTCCACTTCAACATCGGCGTGTACAACCCGAGCAAGGAGCTGACCTTCAGCTGCCAGCTGCTGCTGCACACGTATTTCAAGGTGCCGGACGTGCGCCGTTGCCAGATCACCGGCATGCACGGGTGCATGTTCATAGATAAGGTGAGCGGACGGTTTGCCCCGGCGAGGGTTCACAACTGTCCATTACTGCAACAGCCAAAGCTTTTACACGGCCCTCCCCAGTGGCTTGCACACGGATTTCTGACAGTGACTAAAAACAATTTTGTGCATACCCTTTCAGAAATCTCTGTCTAAAAAAACTTACCAATGATTACACTTGGTACTCAATAAACACGTAGTCAGGAGTTAATGATCGTTAACAATTAACATTTGTAATTGATAACTTTAATATAACTCGCATCCGCTTAGTACTACCACAGTTAGCACGATCTGCCATTGCATGGAGCGCAACATAACCAAGTCGCGCAGTAATATCCGTCTTTCCGCATACAAATCCTCCCTTTGGCAAATGGCGTGATGGGTAGTGTACCTGCCTCCTGCGGCTGAGGGTGTGGGCTCGATCCCACTACTGGTGAAATATTGTCGGATGAACATAGTTTTTCTAGTGTCTGGGTGTTTATATAATTTATAAAAATCTCGTGTCACGGTGTTTGTTCACTTCTCCGAAACGGCTCGACCGTTTTTCGTGAAATTTTGTGTGCATATCGGCCAGGGTGGAGAATCGGACAAAATCGATTTTTCATGCCCCTAAATGTTGAGGGTGGTCCACACCCAAAAATTTTTCCTACCCTACAAATAATTTATATGGCAAAACAACGTTTGCCGGGTCAGCTAGTATATGTATCATATGTATCTATTTACAAAAGAAAAGAATGTTTAAGTATGTTTATCAGTTATCTAGTAGCCATAGTACAATCGTTGCTTAGTTTGGGACTAGAGAATGCTGTGTAAAAATGTGTCCTAAATATTTAGATATGAAGGTCGTGGTTAATGAGTAATGACGCCCGCAGACGCGCGAGGGCGCAGTATACCAAGAGACCCGCGAGGTGGTCACCATCAACGAGTGGACGGACCGCATCTACCAGAACACGATGCAGGAGCACATCATCACCAACGTGGTGAGCGGGCGCAAGATGAGGATACAGAAGTACAACTTCCCCGACACCGGTGCGTGGTTTGGAATTTTTCTGTGCGAGAACGTAGCAGGCGAGCTGGCGGCTCACCCGATCTGAAATTTCTTTTTTTTTATGTGAAAAGTTGCCAAGCGAGCAGACGGTTCACCTGATGTTAAGTGAATATCACCGCCCATTGACATCCGCTACACCCGAGGGTGGCGGATGCGTTGACAACCTTTTGAAAATTGGGCCACGGCCACCCCACTCACCAGACGAAACGCGAAAGTATTATACTTCCACTTTACGCCGGTCTTCTTTGACGTCGTGGTATTTACCCGGACGAGCCTGCTCATTTCTGCAACAGCCGCCCTCGTGCTGTGTGGCCCTGCCACCGTTGAACCTTTATTCAATATGGGCTCACCTTAAGCTCCTATTGAACGTCAAACTACCACCGGTTCACTAAACCAGACCTGTCTAGAGAAGAATCGACGGGAAGCTCTGCGATCTTGTTGTCTTTTTTTTTTCTTTAAATTATATAAGTACACAAAAGTGTTTGAGTATAAAATTAGCAGCAGCCAGAGGACTTGCAAGTGCAGAGCAAGAGTCATTTCCATATATGCCTGTCCCCAATGTGAAACAATTACTTTATATCGAAGCAGCCTAATTACATTTTATTCCAATTACAATTCTGTACCTCAGGCATACAATAGTAACTCCACATTTTTCAAAATAATTTTTCTCACACCATTAAAATAGCAAGAGCAAATTCAACACAATAGTATAAAGCATTAAGTCCTACGACGCCTAATTAATAAACACTGGACAGGATCCTTACTTCCTTACTAATATTATAAAGGCAAAATTTTGTATGTATAGAGAGATATTTGTTACTCTTTCACGCAAAAACTACTGAATGGATTTTAATGAAACTACAATAATATAGCTTATACATCAGAATAACACATAATTAAAAAATAATTTTACATCCCACAAAGGCCTCCTCCTTATATTCAGAGGGCTATACTCAGGTTGCTCGAGTAAATTAGAGGGCATCCCACTACCATATGTCTTTTTGTCTGAATGCTACGCCTTCAGCCTATTCTACGCAGACGTAGTCGCGAGCAGCAGCTAGTTATCAATAATGCATACAAGGATTCACTCACGCATTGCCTCTCCTGTAAAAAATGTGCTTTGTTACATAAGGCCGTTTACCTCTGAGGTGCAGAATCCCTTTCTGAATTTTTTTTAATCGACGGCCTCATGAGAGTCGAGCGGCTCCGCTAATACGAACCGTGTGCGTTGCAGTGATCTGGAACCCGTGGGCGGACTACGCCAAGGAGATCCCGGACTTCGGCGACGACGAGTTCCCGAACATGGTGTGCGTGGAGGCGGGCCGGGTCGCCGCGCCCATCGTGCTGCTGCCCGGCACCGCCTTCGAGGCCAGCCAGATCCTGCAGGTGGGCGTCCCTTTTTTTTTTATGGCCAGCCAGGTCTTGTCGGTCTGTATCATTTCTTTCTTTTTTCTCTATGGCCAGCCAGATCTTATCGGTCTGTATCCTTTCTTTCTTTTTTTTATGGCCAGCCAGATGTTATCGGTCTGTATCCTGCAGGTTCGTTTCTTTTTTTTTATGGCCAGCCAGATGTTATCGGTCTGTATCCTTTCTTTCTTTTTTTTCTCTATGGCCAGCCAGATCTTATCGGTCTGTATCCTTTCTTTCTTTTTTTTTATGGCCAGCCAGATCTTATCGGTCTGTATCCTTTCTTTCTTTTTTTTTATGGCCAGCCAGATCTTATCGGTCTGTATCCTTTCTTTCTTTTTTTTATGGCCAGCCAGATCTTATCGGTCTGTATCCTTTCTTTCTTTTTTTTATCTTATCGGTCTGTATCCTTTCTTTCTTTTTTTTATGGCCAGCCAGATCTTATCGGTCTGTATCCTTCCTTTCTTTTTTTTTACGGCCAGCCAGATCATGCAGGTGTGTATCCCTTCTTTCTTTTTTTATCGGCCAGCCAAACATACATGGTGGCTTTTTTAAAGGTGCCCAAATTCATACAGGTGGTTCAGACTCGGTAGTATAATCGTTTATTGAAATTAAAACAAACTTTATTTTTTTTTCCAAAAAAGATTCTATTCCCTAAAAAACAGAGCTTGTTGACAATGCGGTAGTCATTCATAAATGCGTCGTATACTTTTGCAACGAACTTGTGTGCGTGTTAGTTATGAATGATCGCGCGTAAAATAAATGAGTTGCCCATAAATCGCGCACATTTTGGGATGAGTTCAAATGAATGTATTTGATTAATTACGAGTGATTTTAAATATTTGTCATTTTTTAACATAACATTATTTATGCCAAAATTTTATAAAAAAAAATGGATACGCTTTTGTAAAGCCTCCCTGTATTACGATTTATTTATTTATTTACCCGTATTTAGCACACTGCTTTTTAAATAGATTTTTACGAAAGCCACCCACTTTTCGTAAACTTATTCATATAATACACACTTATGAACATAGCGTTTCCTACCGCTTCCCGGACTAGTTAAAATCTGTGAACAGCTGGCAGATCCTGACCTTGTAAAAAAAATTGACGCAAGACCACGCAACAGTCCTCGCTGTTGCACGTATGGTCAGGCCCGTCCGGATAAGTACCACGACCTCACTGTCAGAGAAGACCGGCGTTTTTTTTTTAGTGAAGTTGCCAAACAAGCAGACGGTTCACCTGATGGTAAGTGAATACCGCCGCCCATGGACATCGACTACACCCGAGGGTTACAGATGCGGTGACAACCTTTTGAAAATTGGGCTCCGGCTACCTCACTCACCAGACGAAACGCGAAAGGATTTGTCATGCTTCCACTTTACGCCGGTCTTCTGTGAGGTTGTGGTACTTACTCGGACGGGCCTGCCCATTCGTGCAACAGCCGACGCTGCTACGTGGCCCTACCACCGTAAAGACCGGCGTGAAGTGGAATTATTGTACTTGTGCGTTTCGTCTGGCGAGTGAGATATTCGGGGCCCACTTTATTAAAGGCACAATGTCCGGGCGGCGGTATTCACTCAACACCAGTCGAACACCTTGCTCGCGTTTTGTTTGGACTTTGTGTGTGTGGGTGAAGATTTTGTTTATTTAACTTGTTTATTCACTGTTCACATTTCAGGTGATGTAAGCCCGGGGGCCGTCTCACGCCGTACTGCCGTCCAGAGCGACGCGGCCTCCCCCCCCTACATATTAGCCGCGGCGCCCCCTCCCCCCTGCCACCCCACTTGCCCCGAGCTGCAAACCGAATTCTAGTGTCCACATCGTAGGGTCCTTTTTTGCATTCCACGCTTTACGGTGCGAAGTTTAAATATGCCCGAGCGTCGTATTCGCCCCAACGGGTGATTGTAGTTGGTCGACGATCTAAACCGTCCGGCAAAGACGCCACCTTTAGTTCGACACGCGTTTCTTACACGTGAGAAAGACTGATCCGCAATTGGTCCGTAGCACTCGTTGTCGTACTCGATGTAGTTGGCTTTGTCTACACGTAATGTTCGAAAAATTGAATTATTTGTGTTCGTTTTCCAATATTCTTTTCTGTCCCTGGGAATGTAACGAATGTTGGTTCATACGTTACGGGGACAGATGGCGCTTCGCACCCGTAATGAGCTTGACATGATTTCAACGTCGATCACATTTGACATGTTGATATTATACTATAATATATGTAATATTAGACGAACAGCTTTAATTAAACTTTTTTTGATGATTGATAACATTCCCAAAGCCTCCTAAATGTTTTCTGTAACGTTGCAAAATACTCAGCGAATGATTTGCGATACCTAATTAGAAAGTAGCTTTATACACTTGTTAAGTAAATGTACTCTTGCCCATATTTATATCTTACGAATATTCAAATCCAAATCGCAACTTTAGAGTTATAGTGACCTATTTAAAAAATAACCATTTTTGGGAAACGTAAAATAAAGATTTGTGCACTTATGAAAAAACGCAAACGCGGTGATTGGACGGGAGTGAAAAGGACCGAAGTATACGTTATGTAGCTTTCTAAAATAGGCCCTTGTTTTTTTAATAAGAGTCGAAAAAGGCAGTCGTCTTAGATCGTTTCCCGACATAAAGTCAAAATCATGCGACATATAAATACACCAACGTAATCCTCCTTACACAACTTAATAAAACACAGCAGTCCTCTCTTTCTTATGTACTTTACTATCGCTCATCGAGCGAATATCATACACGCACAAATTGCAAATTACCCATATCTAAGAGTCAATTATTGTCTGTTATTCAGAGGGGAAACTATTGTTCGTTCTATTATTAGAAATGTTCGTTTTAAGAATGCTTTTAACCATTTTCGAATATTGCAGTGTTGCCAGTTGTTTGGTCTTCTAAGCGATTCAATCGCGCCAAAATGTTCTCTTCCTTCGTCTTCCAGCGTAGCCCGTGAAACTTAGTTTTGCGTTACTCGAATTGTTATTAGCATCTGTTGATATAACGGCGATATGGTTTACAAAATAAATATTTGTTACAAAAAGTCGAACTCCACATATCGACATCGCGTTCCCATTATTTTGAAGGCGACAAAATTTACGCATAAGTCGGAAGTTTAGATCCGCCTCCTCGGGCTGTTAATATAATCTCCTATCCCAATTTCATTGTTTTCACATCACTGTTTGTTATGTAATTACCTTTGTATGAGCATTGTTTTAAGTTTCAATTGCAAACGCCGACAGAGAATGTTTCTGTTGTGTGTAATAACATATGGTAATAGTTTTAAACTCATAGCATTTAATACTCAATACGTTTTAATAACTTAATATTTCTTTTACATTTAGTCGATTGTAATGCAATTAAATAATCTTTTATTTAAAGATTACAGCTACTTTAATTTTTTATCTGTATTCAGCTAGAACACATCAATTGCATAAAAATGTCGTTTTTACAACACTTTGAAAACGTGCCCCGTAATATGTAAATAAAATACCATTCAGAAGCAATTTTGTACAAAACATGATGATTTTTTTTAGTACATTTTACTCGTACTTTTTATGTTTGGATTATTTTGGAGGCTTTTAAAGTATACGACAATTAATATAAGAATATGTACTTAGATGTAATGAGTTCCTTGTTTATAAACGGTATAATGAAATACAATTGGGTAGTTATAAAATGATCATCATATGTCCTGAATAAGCAACAAATTTTGTCACAAACAATTACTTTTGTATTCCATTAAGGAATATCTAGTAGAATAATGTTATGTAAGAAGGAAACAAAACGGTGAACTTGATTATGGAGTCCATTAAGTTAGCCTATTTAATCAGGTTCAATAATAAAATAACGTTCTTAAATATTATGTAAGCTGGAATGGTTAATTAGTATGAATAAACATCGAAACTAGCAACGAAGTGTACTTTTATAGGTGCAATAAAATGAAATAGTGTTATGTGTTCGTTTTATTTCACTTCCTTTAAGCATTTCCTACAACATGACGACGAGAGATAGACAGACAGGACTAGGCACTAAAAATGTTATTAATGTTGCTAATTTCAGCATCGGTGGGTATATACCTACCTGCTCTTACGGTACGGAGCCATTTGCTTTACATGTGTTTCCAGTGGCGGATTGCCCAATAGGCCGAGTAGGCCCGGTCCTAGGGCGGCAAATTAGTGGGATTTATTTTAGTAATCGCGCCTTTCGCCTCCCGCTCCCTCGAGTAGGCGATGTTCCGTAAAAATAATAATAAATCAAGCGGGCCTGATGAGTAGGTGCCATTCTTCGCCTTCATGATCGGATATAATTTACTTTCGTTGTTAATTTTTTGTGCTTTACAGCCAGTAAGGGGGCGAGGCAATCTTTCACGTGCCTAGGGCGACCAACAGGTTGAATCTACCACTGCTTGTTTGCGCTACACTAATCAGAATAAGTGATTGAAAAAATGGTTTTAATATCAATCTGCGAGTCTGTTTTGGCCCTTTGTGGTTCGCATATGGATCTGTCTGAAAATTCACTATATAAAGCACCGGGGGATTAAGGTGATTTTCGGCCCTTTGGAAGAACCGCTTTGTGAAACATCTGCATCGATCGATTAACTTTGGGAGCCTGCAGGTTGATGTTTCCTTGGTAATACTTATATTAGGAGTACAAATAAGTTTCCGCCGTTTTATTGTAGATGGTGCGGCACGGAGTTTCGGTTAGCTATCGCAGATGATAACCGGCTTAAAAAATAGTTTGGACATTCAAGAACAACATAACCTATTAATATCATTGATTTTTATATTGGTAAAATATAATTTTTATAAGTTGAAAATGTCAAAATTTGAGCCAAGTAAGCGTCATTTGCGGGAAATATTAGTTTACTTCTTTAATTTAAAGAAATCTGCTGCTGAGGCGCATCAATTGTTCGTAGAAGCGTATGGTGAGGGTGCTTTGAGTGAGAGAACGTGTCGAGAGTGGTTTCAAAAGTTTAAAAACGGTGATTTCGACGTAGAAGACAAAGATCGCAGTGGAAGGCCAAAAATTTACGAGGATGCAGAATTGGAGGAATTATTGGAGCAAGATTCATCTCAAACACAAAAAGAACTTGTTCTAACATTAGAAGTCACTCAGCAAGCAGTCTCACATCGTTTAAAATCATTAGGAATGATTCATAAACAAGGAAATTGGGTTCCGTACGAATTAAAGCCGAGAGATATTGAACGCCGATTATGCTTAAGTGAAATGCTTTTAATGAAAACATAAAAAAAGGGTTTTTTACATCGTATCATAACTGGTGATGAGAAGTGGATACATTATGACAATCCAAAAAGAAGAAAATCATGGGGATTACCTGGCCACGCGTCAACATCAACAGCAAAACCGAATATTCACGGAAAAAAACTTATGCTGTGTATTTGGTGGGATCAGCTAGGTGTAGTGTATTATGAGTTGCTTAATCCGAGCGAAACAATTACTGGAGCCCTCTATCGAACACAATTGATGAGATTGAGCCGAGCTCTGAAGGAAAAACGCACTCAATACTATTCTAGACACGAAAAAATTATTCTTCTGCATGACAATGCTCGTCCACATGTTGCGGCTCCCGTGAAAAGTACTTGGAAACACTTGATTGGGAAGTGTTACCCCACCCGCCGTATTCACCAGACATTGCACCGTCCGATTTCACCTGTTCCGGTCCACACATGCTCTGACGGCGCAGCGGTTCACATCTTATCCAAAATTGGGTTGATTCGTGGATAGCCTCGAATGAGTTCTTCAGAGTGGGATTCGAATGCTGCCTGAGAGATGGGAAAAAGTGGTTGCAAGTGATGATCAATATTTTGAATAAATTTATATTACCGTTCTTCTACAATAAATATTTAATTTGTGTTAAAAAACGGCGGAAACTTATTTGTACTCCTAATAATATAATAATTTATTTTGTACGATCTGAAGTGTCTTTATGTATACATTGGTCGAACGTAAGCCGTTGAGCAAAGAGCTTGTGCCTTATGGGAAATTTGCTCGAATAGTCCGCAAGGTTGTTATAGATCGATATCGATCCAGGACGATATTTATTTTCTTAACATGGGCAGAGTCATATCGGGAGCAAATATGGCCCCTCGAAGTAGGCCGTAAAAGATGTTCTTCTAGCACTTCACTCTTTTTTTTTTATTATAGTTGGCAGATAGATGATTAGTTTCTAATATTATTTGAAATCAACACACAGGATTGCTGTGTAGACTACCTGTTCAAAGCTGTAACTGTAGCTCACTTCTCAGCCGCCATTTGGCGAGTCCATCATTCGTGCCGGGACATCAAAAATTAAATTAAGATAATAACGCAAAGAAGGTTCTCGATTCGATCTAGGCTGATGAACGATAATCTTTTAAGAAATTAAAACAACAGCAACAATGATCATATATCTTATAACGATATTTATTTCTCTACAACTACTAGCAACTATTTTACACAGATGCCTCTTTGTCTACAGGCTTCATATCCCACACACCTATTTCAGTTAAAACATCCTTTTTAGTTTCGAAATATTCCTTGTACCACATTATGTGATCCTTCTTCTCTTGAACAGTGTAGAATGGATTTTTCGATAGACCCACACACACCAGCTCCATGAAGTGTCGAATAGGTCCGCGATTGGGGCACCAGCCTTCGAGATGGGTATCGAGAAATATGTGCTCAGAGAAATGAACATCAGCTTCCTCCTCTAAACCTGATAAATAAATTAAAAAAAAGCGTCAGGCCGCGAATGCCGAAGACGTGGGTTCGTTTCCCACAGCGGCGACAATCTTTTCGTACTTTTTCTACATGTTTTAATAAATAAATAAAAGTTAATATGAGAGACTTCTGCAAATTTGCGAGACATTGCTGGGGGCTCAGGATTGTGCTTTGTAGTAGTATGTTGGAAATCAGTGTCCAGCAGTGGACTTAAACAGGCTGAAACGATGATGATGATATTATGAATGACCAACTTAATTTGCTACAAATGTTAGGAGCAAATTTGAAGCTTATTATTGAAACAACACCTATGAATCTGAATTAGGTGGTACATTACTAGCAGCTGTTGTCAATTTCATAGACAAAATAAAATGAAATCAATAATATCTGTCTACCTTTTAGGCCACCAGTGTGAGTCAATAAAAGTTGCTAAAAGTGCGCCTGATAAAAGTTGACTCTCTGTTCCTTGCATGTACCATCAATTGCAAAAATGTATTAGAGGCAGAAAAAAGGTACTGTTTATAATTTAAAATGTTGTTTGCTCCTGAGGTACTTTTTATATGTGTATTGCACAATGTATTGTATTGCACAAAAAGATAAGTAAAAATGTCTATGTTTTTACCTTGTTCATTATCAATAGGAAACTTCCAAACTTTTCCCTGTTCTGTCCATTGTATCATTTTCTGGAAATAATTTGTTGGGGGTTGCAAAGTTGCTAAATTTAATTCCCTCTCATTCAGACTTTCCCACATTTCAAGTTTGGTGCCATAATTTCCTTCTTTTGCTTTGAATATGCCCAAAGGCTCTCCACTGAATATGTTTACCACTGTAGCTTGCTGTAAACTGGAATAAATCACGATAGAAGATTATATCATCTAGCTGTTATGATTAGAACTAATAATGATCTACTAGAAGCGTTATATTGCCACCTTGTAGGAGACAAGATATAAGTGTTGTAAATTAAGAGTAAAGAAAATTAATTTAACTTCAATATTTGTATAGTAACCAATTTCACATTAGATTAACCTGCATTCCATAGATTTTTACATACACAATTTCAGCCAATTAACTATTCCTCTGATCATTGATTCAATTGAATGATCAAATCGCAACCTAAATTGGTCAGGAAGACTATACATTTTAGATTTGTTACCGGTAGAAGGCAGCTAAGCCAATCACTTAACTTAACAAATTAAGGCATGTGAATGGCTCGAAAGTTATGAGTTAACTCAAAATTCCTTTGAGAGTTTTCAACAGTAGGTGATTCAATACTGCAACAACAAGCAAGCAACTAAAAAAACCCTACCCAAAAACAATTTCGGTTTGTTTAATTAGGGTTAACCCAATTGAAAGGCTTACCACTATACTGGTGGCCAATCGAAGGTTAACCTAAACAAACGGTTAACAGTCAAATGGCTTACCGGTTCCAAAGGCTTTATCAAATGTACAGGTTTTCTGGGTCCAGAGTATTTACAGAATAAAATTTTGCTAATTTATACAGACAGTATGATAAAAATCAAAATGAAAATTTTGAAAAATTTGGTAGGACACAAGTTCAACATAGATACATTACACTCACTTATTGATAGTCAAAATACTACCCCCGGTTTGGAAAAGAAAGCTACTGTACTGAGAAGAACTGTCTGAGAACCAGTTGAGACACGGAATACTGTTGTCCTAGAGTTTAAATTAGATTGGAAAATATTTATACTTTACAGTAGCACAAAGTCTATTTACACGCTTCTGTAAAGTACACAATTTATGTTTGTTTACAAATTTCAAGATATTATACAATGCATAATATCCTAATACCTTTTTCTTTCATATTGTTTCTCATTACTACCCTGTTCTCTTCTTTTAATATATCTTGTTTTCTGTGCATCTGAGGGAGGTCTATCTACAAGACGTTTCACTTGTTGACCTCTAGTTTCTCGATTCATACCTTCATCAGGTTCCTTTGATCGGTCAACTTTCATACCAATAAGAAGATCGCTGAAATACAATGAATTGAGTTATTTTAAAAATTGGAAGATTTATAACATATGAATTAAAAATTGTTAAATAAAACTAATTTATGGATTTTAATTCTATTTTAACAGTAAAATAATTTTTGGTTTTTTTTTGTATTTTGATAGGTAATAAATTTAAGCCATCCATACTATAACTATACTATGTTTATATGAAAGAGACTTCTATTGCAAGTTATATAAATTTATTTCTTGGAAAAACAATTAATATCACACATGATTCAAAATAGATGCATTAATATCTGTATATATTTTAAATATTCCAATAATATTTCTATCAATACAAGAATATTCACCTTAAACTTGTAGATGTTTGATTAATCTTTCCTAAAACTTTGGAAAGTAACTCAGCTTCCGTTTGTTTGATATCTCCACCAATTGCATTAGCAACATCTTCTGCTGCCTTAGTGAGGTTTTGTTCTGGAATTATCATTGTTAAAAAACCAAAAATACAAATTAATGTCCAGTATGAAAACTTTTACAACTATGAGATCACCTTAGAGCTTAAACCTTTTTTATTGCAAGATTTAACAAGTGTGGGATTGCATAAAATGATTATTTTATATTTTTTCAATGTAGAAAAGAACAACTTGCTGGAGTGACTTTTTTTCTTCTGGAAGATTCTTTAACAAAGTGCAGAAATATAAAAATTATTTTATATATTTCTTTTTTAATTTTTAATTAAATGAATTTTTCTTTCTCTTGAAACCATAGCAATGTTTAATTGAAGATTAATGAAGTTCTATTTGTGTTGAGTATTATTATAATGATGTTCAAACATAATTATGTTTACTTAGTTTTTCAGTATTTTTTTTTAAATCAATTGTATGTCTACAATGAATGTGGCTCACAATCAATTGTATCTTATTGTGGTTAAATAATCTTTTTTTGTTATTAATTTAAGAAAGTGTATATGGTACTAACCAAATAATTTACTTTTATCTTGAATGCTTTCAGCCTTCTGCTTTTTTTGTCGCGGGATTTCAGGAGCCGTTGTAAATTTCTCTTTATATTCCGTTTCATTAATTTTAGGTGCAGCCATCATACTTTTAAGAAGTTCTTGAATTTTTTCGGTTGAGGATTCGGATTTAGAGGTTTCTGTTTGTACATTTTCATCCATAGGTTTTAAATTTGGTGGATTCCCATCTTTTTCTGGTGGTTTTTCTGATAAACATCTAACAAATAACTTCAAATCTCCTCTGAATTTCAATCTGAAAATTGAAAAATAATTTATATTGTGTCTCCGGCAAACTTTAACGACATCCATAATAAAAATAAAACCTTGTGAGCATTTTTATTCTTAATTAGCAAAAAGCTTTTCAATAAATTTTTTTAATTATTTTTTGTTGTTCTTATTTTTACATAGCTTTTCGAGAATTGGAAAAAAAGTAAGGTTATATTTAGGTTATTAGGGATACGCAAAAAGTATCGGTAATCGGTACCCTGTATCGATACTTTTGTTTCGATACATTACTAAGTACTTTTGGAATCGATACTTTTATTCACCACTGTAGTAAAAAAAATATCATAATCTTTATTTTCATGCTAGTCGTTGGAGAAAAAATAATAGGGAAAAGGTCGACGTTGTACTCATGGATGTAAACTTAGTGATTACATTCTCTTTGGTTGCACTTTCCATTGACGTCCGTCGAGATGGGGTTTGATATTTTTTTACAGAAAAGTTAAAATATTATAAGCATATCGCAAAGTTTAAACAAGCGGAGACGCGTAGTTTTTGCGAAAAAATATATTGAAAATCAATTATTTTTTGCAATATTTACCACAGGTTATACAGAATTCTCGCCATTTAACGTTTCAAACGGTGAACTGTTATTTTATTCCAATTTGTAACCTTAACCACATCCCTTAATAAATATATATATGTGGTGGAAAAGTAAAAAGTATTAATTATAGTTTTTTTTTCATGTCGAACACAAAATTACACTTTAGCACACCATAAGGCATGAAAGTTTTTTTTTTTCATTTTTATTATTACTGAAATTCCTTGTTTTTTCCTTGTAATCTTCAAATAAAATAGGTTAGGTTCAACTTATGTTAAAAAATCAAATTGATTATCCCCGACTCCACCTGGTACAAGTCAGTCCTACCACTAGTTTTATAGCGCAATAGATATTTCAGTGTGTAAAAATAGATACAGAAATCGCTCTGAATAAGTGCCCCTATTATTTCACAGGATCGAAGTAAGAGAATTTACACCAAATAAAAATTAGAACTAACACCAAAAGAATTTTTTTTCTTCATCAGCCAGGACAGCTCGGGACGAAGGCGACTCTGTCTCTTATGTTATTAATGTGTGGCAAATGTCATTCTGAAGTCGGAAAGTCCCCATGGTATCGGTTGACGACATAATATCGTTTTCCCTAGCTTCTGCTCGGACGAACTTAGTTGATTGGATGGTCACCCAAGTCAGGTTAGAGTGAAGAATATTGCTACAGATTTCTCAAGTTTTCTGATCGGCATCTACGGTACATCATTTTAGCGCTGTATTCTCCGCGAAAAGCGCGATATTGACTTGTAACTCTCTTGGGATGTCTGATGGATGAAAAGCGAAAGCACGAGGGAGAAAGGCAGGAACCGTGAAGAACGCTCCGGCTGGAAGATTGGGGTTAGGTTGAAGTATCTACGCCTTTACGTTTATAATACGATGAACGAGAAAACTCAAGAGTTGTTACGCATATGCGGACCTGCGGGTAGTGTGCATGCCTAAGGACTGGGACAATAACTTCACAGAATTTAAACAGTTAGGCGTTCCTCACCTCTTAATAAAAAAAATGTTTGGTACTGTAAAACAAAATCGTCACGTCATTGGTATAATGCAGAGTGGTCTACCTAGCGTAAGCGGAGATCAGTGGGTTTAAAACTGGTGTTGAAGGTAATGCTCTCTCGTTCCAAATACTTTTAGTCCTGGTCTCAATAAATGTTAGTGTATAAATGTAAACTACACTCGTTTCTAATATTATTTTTAGTTTTCTGTTATTAGAAAAACCAACGATATAAAGGTTTTTCTAATAACAGATAAACTCGATGGTAACTTTTTTACACCCGATGGTACTCGCGGAACCATTAAACCATTTTACTTAAGCTGTATGGTGTGCAAGCGATATCACTATATTGTCTCATCTACTCTAAACCAGACGATAGGGACGGTTATTAGATGGTTAAAAATTTAAAGAATACAAATTAAATAATTTTAAGGCACTTTATTTTCAGACGATGTAATTGTTGACGTATATTATTTACAAAATATCCATGTATAGAAAGCGTATGCGCGTACATAAGTACATAAGGTAATCTAATAAGTTACACCTCTCTGGCGACATTTAAAGACAAGTTTTCATAGAACTTAAAGTTATCAGAGCGATAGGTTTTTTGTTAAGATTAAATTTTAAGGTGGTATTTGCCGTTACAAAGCCAAAAACCCCATTAAAGAAGTTATAACTTAAGGAAATCACTTGCATAGAATTGCATGGAGAAACATTTACCTAAATTTTTTACGTTCCGACAACAAAAAATACCTTACTTATTTAGCACCCGAGAATTGCTCGGGTAATTATACAGCGTGTCGTTAACATCGCGACAATAAATGAACACACGTCTAACGTTACTTGCCAATAATCATAAAAAAATATTAACGTTAAACAAAATCCATAGTTAAAAAAGAATATTTTTCAAACAAACTAATTAAGTAAAAAAGAAACAAAATTTGTAACATCCTATACAACTCGCGCCACTGCGTCGCATTACAAGCCTCTCCTTCTAACAGTATGTTTTGTCTCTTTTAAATTCATTCAACCCATTCATATGCTTTGTGACCTTTACAAATGAACTTTACGTTACGCTTTTATAGGTAAGGATGTAAGGATGTAGTAATTCTAAAATTCTTTGTTTTGGGAAATTTAATAACTCTGTAAATATTGATGTTTAAAGAATTTAAATGTTAAATACAACTTTAAAAAGTTATCCCCTATATGTGTGTTCATTTATTGTCGCGATGGTAACGACACGCTGTATAAAAAAACACATACCATATATGTCTTTTGTTTTAAAAACATTTAAGCAAAATGATAATGAGTTCTGTTTTGATTACCAAGCAACCACCATAACAGGCCTATGAATAATTAAACTGTTTCAATGTCAAATAAATAGCAATAAAATGTCATCAGTTACAATTACTAATACAATGGCGTGTAATGTCGATAAAAAAAAATCCAACCATATTTATAACGTAAAAAATAACTAGGAGACTTCTTGTGACAAACTCTACGTTCCGTAAACAAGTTTGAGAAATTATTATATATGTGTATATATATAATAATTTCTCAAACATATTAAGCTAGTATTAGCGACCCGCCCCGGCTTCGCACGGGTGCAATGTATAATACATTATATATACATATAAACTTTCTTGAATCACTCTATCAAGTAAAAAAACCGCATCAAGATCCGTTGCGTAGTTTTAAAGATCTAAGATTACATAGGGACCGACGCACAGTGGGATGACTTTGTTTTATTCTATGTAGTGATTAAACTAGATGGTAAAAATATGTTCAGGAAATAAATTTTAAAAATATAAAAGGAGTGCGAAATTTTATCAGTCGAAGGCAGTCATAACTTTTAATCAAACAGTCGACGGGAAATTCGTAAGAATATATTTGAAAAATATTTTTCTTTTTATTTGCCGGTGCCGGTAGGTAAGTCATTGCGGCGATATGGCCTATGATGGTAAATGCACTAGCTTGGTAACAATATATGGCGTTTTCATTGTGTAATTTATTTAATCAGCACAAGTTCTCACGACAAAGTGGTTATAAAAGTATGTTAAGTCTTTACTTAAACTTTTCATTGTTATCAACTCGAAGGCGCTTTCGATGTTTCTTTCAGCTTAACTAAAGTCTCAATATTAAAATTGATTAAAACCATATTTAAATCAATTTCCTAAGATTGGCTCTTTATTATTTGTATCACTTAATGAGTTACGAGAGATGATCTACATTCTTGATAGTTATGGCTGAAAATTAATTATGACAATACAAGCACTGGAAGACTAATAAACACACTTTGAAGAGTCACTATCTTATAAGTTAATTTGACTGTTAATTGTGGCAAACCTCATTACGTAAAAACTGACTATCAGCACCATTATTCGAAAATTGTACAACTTAAGAACTAAAATGACGCGTTTCAGTAAATTTATAAACTACACTTATGGAAAAATATTAATAACTATTTAAAATATACATTTCGTAGTTATTGCATAGACAAATTGAAACGAGTTCACGTTTAAAAGCCTGTGAGCAAAATCTATACGCCTTTTTGTATTGTATGCACTATCGTAAGGCAGCAAAACATATCACAATAACAAGGCTGATTTTTTTTAATTACAAACTTAACAAGAAATCTGGCACAATACGAATTTGATCCAATGAGATCATTTTTACATAAAATTTACCATTCGTAAAACGTCCTAATTAAATACAACTAAGTAAACGTAACATAAGTAAGTACACCATGCTTGTGATGTATTAGTGGAATCAAATAGGTATGGCACTGACAATGGAAGCACCGTTATTTCTTGCACCGGATACACTTCTCGTGCAGGGTGCGCAGAACATTCCGAAAAGTTTATATACTTAATATGTACATACATTACAAGTAACACATTTCGAACAGTCGAACGGGGTCGCTGTTCCATTTTCGAAATCGTTTTTTTTTTTCATCTAAGAAACAACAAGAAAGAACACTCGCGCCTCTAGTGAAATGGTTCGAACGGCGCCGGGGTTCCATTTTCGAAAGTCGTCGATGCACGTGATATTTCAAGAGGTTCATATACACGAACACTTCGGCGGGGGCGGCAGTTCCGTCGCAATTCAAGTGGCGCGTCGCTCAGTCGGCGATCTTGATGAGGCCGAAGTAGGTGAAGCCGGGCCGCAGCCAGAGCGTGCGGTTGCGCTCGCGCTGCGCGATGTTGAGCGTGTCGCCCTTGCGCAGGCGCGCGAGCGTCTGCGTGGCGCAGGACATCTGCGACTTGTCGAGCGGCCGCCCGCTCGAGTCGTCGCCGGTGGCGCACGCGCTCAGCATGCGCGGCTCCTGCGCAGGCGCACGCGCCCACACGAAGTAGCAGTTCGGCGCGTGCGTCAGGTACACCACCTGGAATCGAATTAAACGCGTCCCGTTGAAGTCATACAATCCCGCGAATTTTGGCTTGGGATTTTATTGTTGTTGAAAGTAGAAATAATTGTCGCTCTGAAAAATTAATATTTAAGTTAAATTA